TTTGAACATACTAAGTATATTACAGTAGATATTGCTCAACTGTCCCGTGTCTACCTTGTAATTTACTGCATATTTTTCTCTATTAATATGACACATTTCTAAAAACAATCTTTTTTTGTAATTATTCTCTTGCTGTAGAACCCTGACATTTGAATAGTCAAATTGATGCCCAGTTTTTAAGTAATGGTCAACTGCCGCACATGTATTCTTCTTTTTTGTGCTGTCACTTTTGTGTTGTGTAACTCTTTGTTTTAGCCATTGAGAAGTTTGGACGACATAACAGCTCTGGCAATCCAAACAAGGTAGTTTGTAAATAACATTAGTCGTATTTACAGTTGGTGTCTTGTCTTTTACTTTAGAAAACAGTTGTCGGTTTTCTAATAAATTATATTGGACAATTTTAATGTTACTAAATTGTTTAAATAAACTAGTCACAGAAGGTGTTAACTGTTTTATTATTAATAGTTTTTATATTGGATTGTTTGTACTGCTCCGATATCAGTGGGTTCGTCAAAAATGTCAATGAGTTAATTATCAATTTTTTAAGGATATGTTTTGGTTATCCATTATTTTCAAAGATGTTTAACAGCAAATTTAAGTTTCTGTTTATGAATTTATCATCTCATATGCCTTTCCTTATTCTTCATTGTAATCACTGTATTAAACTTTTGATAAGTAGGATGATTTGAAACAAAGTTTAAATATCTTCCAGAGTTGGAAGATATTGTTGGCTTTTGATACCAATCTATCAATATTTTATTTTGTTTAGTTCTTAGTTGACCATTACTTAAAAACTGGGCATCAATTTGACTATTCATATGTCAGACTTCTACAGCAAGAGAATATTTACAAAAAAAGATTGTTTTTAGAAATGTGTCATATTAGGTAATAGAAAAAAATATGCAGTAAATTACAAGGCAGACACAGGACAGTTGAGAAATATCTACTGTAATATTCTTAGTATGTTCAAATAATTTTTCTGTTTACAATTATATTTTAAATCCCCTGTATATTTTTAATGTGTAATTTTATTGTGTTCTAATTGTTTCTTGTTTTTGTTTGCTCTTTTTTATATTTATATTATGTACAACAACTTTTCTAAATATTTTTAACTCTAAATCTGTAAGTAATTCATGTTTATTCTCACCTGATATTTATATAAATTTTAACCATATTTTAGTTGTCTCCTAATGAAGCTGACAAAAATCAGCGAAACATAGAGAATTAAAAAAAAGAGTTTTTTTTAAATAACAGACTGCATACACGATACACCAATATAATAAATTGTTATATATGTAGATATATGTATTGTATATATATATATATATATATATATATATATATATATATATATATATATATATATGTATATATATACATACACACAATTTTGTTCTAAAATTTATTAATGATTTTTAATAATAGATATTTTCGCATTTCGTTTTCCTGAAACTCTAAACGAATTCTCCTAAAGAAATATCTAAATATCAATCTGCGGCGTACCTAAACCTAAAATATAATTGAATTCAGCAATTTCTCGGTACGGGATTGTTCAATTTATAAAACCACAGTGATTTTGATTTTCCTTTCGCCAGACTGGACTCAAAATTTCTGGAATGACACAATGCTTTCTTGATTATAATAACTACTTTAGGCGACATTTTAAATTGTGGGAATTAAAAAGCAGGCAAGATGGGCTCGGCTGGAAAATTGATTCATAAATAATCAGAAGATATAATTTTAATAGAATGGAATTATGTGTTTTTTTTTGTCATACTTGTGGCGTTTATTAGAATAAATTACCAGTGTTTTATAACATTTTAACCAATCCCTTTGTAGAAAGGATACAATAATATAATAAGACCTTTTTGTATGTTATATCCTAGATACAATTAAGTAAAACATAAAATTTTATTGGAATGGTATTATGTATTTTTTGTCATATTGTTGCGTTTATTAGAATAAATTAACAATGTTCTATAATGTGTTAACCAATTCTTTTGTAAAAATGATATAATAATATAATATGACCTTTTTGTACTCTACATCTTAGATTTATTGAAATATTGTAGTCATACGTACATCAGCAAAAATTCGGAGTTAAAATAGAAAACGAGTACTATGAGTTAAAGCCAGTTAACGCAAAGTTTCCACAAGGTAGCGTTCTTGGACCAATACTATACCTTTTGTATATATCTGACATTCTGAGAGGGAAAACATTTAACTAGCCACATTTGCTGATGATACAGCAGACTTGACAATAGAAGTAAATATAGAAGAATCTACAGTCAACCTACAAAATTCAATTAATGGCATAGAACGCTGGCGCTGGTCCAAACAATGGAGTACTAAGTTCAATGAACAGAAGGAAAACAGCAAAATATCTGGGTCTAAATCTGGAAGCCAGACTTAAATGGAAAGAGCATATTAAAAAGAAAACTAAATAATTGAGATAAGTACAAAAATATGTATTGGCTAAGAGGTAGGTGCTTTCAAGTTTCCATCCAGAATAAAGTACTGATTTACGAACACTTATTGAAGCTGGTGTGGACCTATGGCCTACAATTATAAGACTGTACCAAAAAAAGCAATAATAGAAATTTAGAAACGCTTCAGAATCGAATACTAAGGAATATTGTACTTGCTCCTTGAAACGTTCAGAATGATGATTTACGTAGAGACCTTAAAGTCGAATCTGTTCAAGATGAAAGTAAGAAAGTCGCCAAGAGACATGAAGGGAGGCTCCATAAGCATTCCAACCATGAAATACTTCAGCTTATTGTCAACCACCCCTATTGTTTCTTGAAAAGACTTAAGAGGACTAAAATTTTTAATCTTGTGTAATGTATAAAATTGTGCAAGGTGTAGTTAGTATTGTGCATTGTAACTACAACAAGGACGCAAGCAGTTAGTGAAAAGAGTCAGTGCTGTGCTGTGTAGCCAAAACGAAGAAGTGGGCGTTTCATGTTAAGAAAAGCTAGGATGGACCAGAAATCATCTAGTTTATAAGCAATCTTAGGAAATTATGTTAAAGAAAACGTGCTGATTATTCTTATAGATTAGGTGTATTCTTATTCTTTAAAATAAATAAAACTATCGTAGATATGATTAGATAAAAAACTTTATAAAATAAATATTTTATTATGGAAATTATATATTACTACCAATTCAATGTATTTTTCTCTTTAAAATACATATTTTTTCAAATTAAATTTTTTTATATACAAATAACTTTATCTAATTAAGCAGCAAAAAATAAATAAAAAATTAAATTTAGAAAAGTACTAGCAATGAAAAAAATTAGAAGAAATTAGCCTAGCTAGGGCCTATTCTTGTAAAAACTAAACAGTACTTAAGATTATGACCAAATGGCATAATATACAGATTCATTGTAAACAATGAAAAATATAAAAGCGTGGCATTAAAGAATGTTCAAGATGAGTCTAGCAAACTATGGACTGATTTGAAATTGTACTTTTAAAAGTTTAAAAAACTACTACTGTACTGCTAGAAAACAATTAAAAATTACATAAAAAGCGAGATAGTGGAAGCAGAAGGAAAACAGTTTAGGGAAAAATACAAAGATTTAGAAGGATTGTAGAATGAACAAGCTGTTCTAAGAGAAAATTAAGAGATCATCATAAATCAAAAACAATGAACAACGTTATTTATTAGCAAGCATATAAATAGGCTACTAATAACATTAAAAAAATTAAACGACGAATAAAACTCATATATAGAACATATATCCTCAAAGCACAGAGCAGAGTTTGACTTTATGCAGGGCAGATCAACAACAGATGCAATTTCATAATAAGACAGTTGGCGGAAAAATACATGAAGAAAGAAAATAAGGCTAATATGATATTTATTGATTTTAAGAAAGCATATAATAGAGTTCCTTGAGAGATTTTGTGGTAAGAACTCAATAAGAAAGGAGTCCCCGTTGAACATGTAAAGATTGAGGGAGATATATTATATGAGGAAGTAACAAGTAGTGTTAGGTGTGGGAGAGGCACAAATTAAATTTCAAGTAAAAGTAATCTTAAAAAACAGGAAGTCTTGAGTAACAATCGTGAACTCATGAAAATTTTCAAAAAACGCACAGAATCTGTACACGATAGATATAATTATCTGCAGTTTTTTAATGTAATCATTAACAAAAAGTAGACGTTATTGTCACAGACGACACATCTGGCTAAGTAACATCAAAGAATAGATAGAAGTAAACCTTCAAAAACTATTAAAAAAGTCCGAAATGAAGAAAAAATAGAAGTCGTTGCCTATTTCCACAAAAAAAAATAATAAAATGATCTTTGGTACAATAAACATACATGTAGGAGATACACAAAATGTCTTTTAGGTCGCAATATGAAAAGTCTGCACAGCCAAAAACCTCCTTAACACCTTCAGTATACGATATAATAACTAAATCAAAAGTGGAAACTTTGTAGATTTTGTACGGAGAATTTTTTTATTTTGAAGTCGTACATTAAATAGTTTTATATATTTTACATATCAGCTAACAGAGTTAATTGTATAACACATTATGAGTCGTATCTTCTAAACTATTCGAGATTTAGTCCCATTAAAAACTTTTTAACTGATTTAAAGGTATTGCAACGTTATTTTAATTGTTTTACAGTTTTTCACTTTCTTAAGTTTCTTTCAATTTTATAACACTAACAGTAAAAATGGTAAAAACACAATTAATTTATAACATTTACTACTCAATAGTATGTATTTATTTTATTAACTGACTCCAAAATCTAAATTGTTCTCTATAAATAGTGCTCCTAGTGTTCCAAAAATCCCTCAACGCCATTAAGTCTTGCTTCGGATAATTCGCATTACATGATCAGAATAGTGTGGAATCATTTAGACTTGACAGCAGTTCGGTCATATTTCTCATGACATTAGAACATAGTTAGAATCGTGGAAGAGTAAGCAGGCTGTCCTAATAATATTATTAAGTGTAAGCTAACTGTAAGACCACTTACCATATAGGAATATTATAATAAGTTTTTCGGTGGTTGTTCTGAGGATTTTAAACAAATAATTTTTACTGTCATAACGGAATGGATTTATTATTATTTCTTTTGATAGATGTCCTTATTTAAAGTTGATCTCATCTAATCAAATAAACTATCCTTTAATAAAACCAAGGAATTCACCTTAAAAAAATTGCTTAATAATATCATTTTAAAGTCCCTTCCCTTAAACGCATGTCTGTTTGAATTCATTATACGCGTGGGGCAGGTAAAACTTAACTATTAGAAGAATTTTTTTCTTTTTCATTTTCAAAGCACATACCTACAGAAATAATTTGTTTAATTTCTATTTTGAAAATGATTTTAATGGGGAAAATTGAAACATAAAATATGAAGTTATTTTAATTGTGGTTTTTTCACACTAAATCTCTGTGATAATATTTAATTTTTAATAATAGTTTATCATTTATAAACTATAGTGTAAGTTACAACAGTTCTAACCTCATTCCAAAACCCTTGATTTCTCAAAAGTAACCAAACAATGAGCAATTTTTTTTGTGCAAAAGACTTCAATTTGTTCTATTACATTTACAGTTTTCTGTCTTGCTTAACACTAGTTTATGGATATCATTAGTTATTGCCTACGGTAAACTTATTATTTGCAAGTTAATAATCATTTTCTTATTAATAATAGAGTGTTTATTTTTAGGGCATAATAAAATATTAAATAGGTAAAAAAGAAATAAATAAGACTTACACTCAGTTTAATTTAACTACCTAGACGACCGCTTTTGCTTTATAAAATTTGCAAAGCATCTTCAGGTCAGTCGATACAAAGTTAATTAAATGCTGAAATAATAAAACCCATATTGGGGTGCTGTTTTATAAAGATAACCATAAAGATAAAATAATATAAATTACAGTAATTACGCCAATATTACATGTCTGTGGTTTTTAATATGAATAAACTGTTTAAGCAAACACAGTAAGACCCACAAATGGTATAAAATAGTCTATTGAGTTGTAATAAATTAGTTAATAAACAAAACATTACTTACATTTATTAATGATTGGGAGTACATAGTTTAAACTATCGTGTGACTTAATAAATCGTGTACCGGCATGTAATTAATTTTACTTTATTTCTCTTTTACCTATTTGAAATGGACTCACACAAGCAACACATTCATGATTTGAATAAAATATTATTTAGGAGCATATTATTTTATTAATTGTCATAATTTACCAAATTTATGTTTTAGCAAAGTAAAATAAAACTTTTGTTTAGTTCCAAGTCACATATTCTATAAATAAATCACCAAAGTTAAAAATATCTAGATATTTTAAAATATTCACACTCTCTAAAGTTTATCAACCCCGTGAATTCCATTTACATTATTCCGACAATGCATGTTTTCATCGTTTCCTTTACAAATTGGCCTCTACAAATACCTTCATCGATATTTATTCCTAAAAGAAGCAAAAACATAAATTATCTATGAAAAAAATCCCATTCAACTTCTAGCAATGTCCTCAAAATCGGTTCCTTTGACAAAATTGAATGCAATTTTATGTACAAAAGTGGCCTTAACAGAAAAACTCGAGGACGTACATAAATCCCTTTAGTACTGTCGACGGAACATTTGTCGCAATATATTTTCAAAAATGGTCTATTATAGTTTTCGAGTATCATTTTGATAAATTTCTTGACGGTTTCAATAGAAATGTTACACAGTTAAAGGTCTTATTGTGCGGTTAAACTAGCTACCTGAGCAGAGCGACCCAGATTAACGAACCCACACTAGGTGATAAATAAAGTGCTCTTACTTTTCAATTAAATTCTCTATAATAAATCCTTAAACAAAATATACTTTTTTATGTAAAAAAAAAGAATATATACAAATATAATAAATATTTTGATTACATACTTTATGAGCAACTTAACTTGGGAAATAAAATAAAAAATAAAGTAACAAAATAAGACAGGACTTGTATCAGTGAGCGTGACTCGGTAATCTGATCTGAATACCAATGATGATAATGTCTATCAAATCTTTATTTTGGTATAACTGGAGGTTGTAGTAATTTGAAACGTAATGAAGAACTTTCACAAAGTGAGGCACATAACAATAATGGGACGTGTAACAACTCATCAATAGCCCCCATAAAATTGTGAGACCCTCCGAGATATAGCAAACTAATCAAGTGATTACCGGCATCCTTTGGAAACCCGTAAACTCATCACGGCAGATAGGTAAGCTCATCACCAGCATTTTTTGCTCAAAGGCGCTGGTTTCTAATGTAGAAGATTGTCTATTATCTGTTACACTTTTTGTTTACGTGATAATCTCTTAAATTCAGAAATTATTTTAAGCAGATTGCTTCAAAATTTAAGGGATATATTTGTTTGTTTATATCGGCTGTCTTACGGTGAGTGATCTATTAGATATTAGAGCTTATCAATGAGCAATTTAGTATCCATGTTTCTTTTTGCATATTTTTAGGTAGCTAGCAATAGAATTTTATAAAATTTACAAATACCAGGCCATGCATTGTATTGTGCATTTAATACAACCTGACTTATATTATTCTTTTATTTTTAGTTATTAAACCTTAACGGTTTACAACCATTTTAGGATCGATACTGTCACGGGATGCAGGTAGGCCACCTATCAGTTTGCAAATCTATCCCGTTCTATTTTAAAATCCCTGGCTTTATTGCGGTAATAAGTTTTCACTATCTACGAGTGCACATTATACTACTTGATGGTGAGTTTACATGTACCCAAATAATGTGAAGTCTGTAAAATAGTTGAATTGATAGTGAAATTATTAAAAAATATGCACATACGTTGAAATTTTAATAGAGTAATACAAATATATGTAGCAGATAAGTAAAAACCGGACAAAAATCGATAATTCTTTTTATGGTTAACAGTGTGCCAAGCCCACTGTTGTATAAAGTGGGCTAACTTCTCAACTACTTAAAAGTAGTTCTAAAAAACGCCACAAAAGCGTGTACGTGTCAGGTGACAGGTGCCAGCCCGCTCAGAGGCAATAGAATAGACCAGACAGACTACACTAGTGCTGTGTGGCATATTCTTCTTCTTCAAATTCCGCTCCTATCGGAGATTGGAAATCATTTTGGCAATTTTAATTTTGTTAGTCACGCGCCTAAAGAGTTCAGTTGAACTGCATCCAAACCATTCAAGGAGATTGCGTAGCCACGAGATTTTACGTCTTCCTACGGTTCTTCTACCTTTGATTTTACCCTGCAGTATATGTCTTCGTAGTTCGTATTTTTCACCTCTCATGATGTGCCCCTAGTATTCCAATTTCCTGATTTTGGAATGGAATTTAAACCTTCGCATTGTTTCCTAGTTGTTCGAGAACTTGTTCGTTTATTTTGCGATCCATCCATGATATTCTCAAAATACGTCGGTAACACCACATTGCGAATGCTTTTAGGTTTTAATGTTGGATTTTTTGAAGTGTCCAAGCTTCAACTCCATACAAAAGGGTAGAGAAAATATAACATCGAAATATTCTTATCCGGACCGATATATTGATATCGCGAGTACAAAAAAGTTTTCTCGTTCTATTAAAAGTTGACCGTGTAATTTCAATGCGGCATCTTATTTCTTTCGTCTAATCAGTATTTTCTGTGATCCTTGCTCCAAGGTATTTGTACGAAGATGTTTGTTCAATTTCTGTATTATCTAGTACTAGCGTAACTTTGATATTTTGTGCTTTTGTAAATACCATGCACTTGGTTTTCTTCAAATTTATTTTTAGTCCAGTGTAGCATATGGGATTATCTTATTTGAGGTTAGAATTTTGTACTTTATTATTCACAATGAATAATAATATTTGTAGCATTGTTAATGTTGGAAATATAACAAAACGATGTAAGAAAGGGTCGGAAAGAGTAGTAGAAGTTCAAAAAAAAAGGGGTAGGGTTAGAAGGCAATCAATACAAAATCTCTAAAAATATAAATATTCTACCTAAACAACCTCCACTGAATGAGGTAGGAAAGTTTGTATTTAAATAGATATTTTTTTAAAACCATTTTGTCTATTTCTAGGTAACCTGTAACTGCAAATATCCTGTAAATAAACTGCAGTCTAATTATACTTTTACTGTTTAAGACTTTTTATAAAATTAGTGAAAGCGTTAGCAAAACACTTATTTATTGAAATTTATGCATGATTGTTAAGTACAGCGAAGACGGCATGGATCTTAGAGTTCTTCTGAATCTAAAGGTCAAAGCCAAGCTTCGATTTATTTTACTATTGCAGTACTAATATTTTGGACACATTATGCGAAATGCATCCAGATATACCCTCCTACATGCCAACCTGCAAGGAAAAAATTTTGAAAAGTAAGGTCCAGGAAGAAAAAGAAAATCCTGGTTAAAGAATCTCAGAACCCGGTTCAACACAACATCTGTGCAGCTTTTTCGCTTTGCTGCAGATAAGGCAAAGATTGCCATGACGATCGCCAACATTCGTCACATCTAGGCACAACAATAAGAAGAAGAAATATAACATTGTTTTAAAATATCCCACAATTAGGATTACATAAATTTGATATTTGTAGTTGTAGCTGTTGGAACATTATGATTTTATTTCCTTCTAGCTTCATGTGTGCTTCTTGTTCCCATTTTTTTTATAATGGCTTTGGCTTAGCCAATAATTAGTCAGACTATTTGTGGTTAGTTTATCTTTATTGAATATAACTAATTTACTGACATAGTACATTACAAGAATTAATTATGTTAACTAACAATTTTCCATTTTTTTAGTTTTTTTATCTATTTTTTAAGACATTTTTTTAATGACCTTTTTATCTATTTTTATGTAATTTTAATTTCTTTGATATATTTTAACTAAAAAAAAGAGATACATGAATGAGATAATTAAGAAATGTAACGTAAAAGTGCAGAAAATGCATGTAGCGTATAGGAATTTTACACGAGTAGATATTTTAGAAGGAGCATTAGCCAATGACG